CTACTACTACTACTACTACTATACTCCTACTCCTACTCCCACTCCTACTACTACACTACACCTACACCTACTACTCCTACTGCTCCTGCTCCTGCTCCTGCCTGCTCCTGCTGCTCCTGCCTGCTCCTGCTGCTCCTGCTCCTACTCCTACTCCTGCTCCTACTGCTGATGCTACTCCTACTGGTACTCATTCTCGCACTACTGCTACTGCTACCACTGCCACGACTGCCACTACTACTACCACTACTACCACTACCACCACTGCTACCACTACCACTACCACCACTACCACTACCACCACTACCACTACGACTACGATTACTACTACTACTACTGCTACTACTGCTACTGCTCCTACTACTACTGACCACTTTTGAGCAGGCGGTGCCAGATTTCATGCTCGAACTCCTAGACCACATTTGAGCATGAGAGCCAAAACCCCCAAACTGTGCCCGTCAGTGACATACCCATCCATCTTCTTTGAGTTTGGCATGACACATGTTTCTACCATGCAGGCGGCACCCCAGATTGGGCTCCGACTGGTCCCCGGTGACGGTGCCTCCACGTTCGCCAAGAAGGCCTTGGGCGATCGATGCTGTTGTCCGTAGGCGAAGACATTAAGCTGAGGTGTAGGTTTTTGTTTGCAGAGGGAAGCTGTACATGTGGATGTTGAAATATTTGAATAGAGATAGAATAGGCAATCACTGGTCAGATGCCAGAAAAAACAGGAGAGGAACACCGATGTATACTCATGTGAAATCGTTGGATTTGTGAAAAATTGCCAACGGAGCTCGGAGCACTGAAGTTTTTCTTGAGGAAAAAATCAATTTTCCTTCTCCATGGAGATTGTGAGGGTATACCGCATACTCCATCAGAACACTTGGAGCAAACAAGTCCCAGACGGCATGCTTTGGGTAACTTCTAACCTCCATGCGTGCCACGGTCTACATATATATATATATATATACTTGTCCAAACGCGTACATGTGGTTGTGTATTTTAGTATATTTTAATATGGAGCCCCCAACCAAAGGGTTTTTGGTCTATTTCCTTGCTTCCATGAGGTCTTTGGGAGGTCCCTTTTTTAAAATACACACCCGTGTGACAATGTGGTTATAACGATGGTCATCCACTTAAGTAAGACTTTGGTGCAGCCCCAATAAGGGCTTTGTTAAAGGTGCGCTGACCATCCTCCACACAAGGAGGTTGACGGCGCATATGCGCTGCTGATGGAAGAAGACCAGCTCGACCAACGTTCTGTTTTGGGCAGTCCTGTGTTTGAATCCTTGCCCCTTCTGTTTGTTTGGTCTCTTCTCGCACTCGAAAACGCACCCGTCATCGTCGTTCCAACGCCGCGTTCCCCGCTGCGAACACAGGGGACATTCCTGGCGGAGCTGTCCAAAGCCTCCCCGGTGGAGTTGCTCCTGCCGAAGCTCACTGAACTTCTGGGCGGGGAGAGATGGACCGGTTGGGCGCTGGGGTGGTGTAGCGGATGGACGCGAGCCGCGGGTGACCGGTTGGTGTGCAGATTTGCGCTGTCCCAGGAAAGGGAGTCGACCCAGTTCAGTGGTTGAAAGGGGTGAAACCTTTGGCATGTTTCTCGGAGGGGTGAGGTTGTTAGACTAGTTAGGACATGTTAGGACTCTTTTCCATTGATGGTTGGCTGTTGCTGATGTTCTCAGCTCAGTTTCCCCACAGGGTGACAACTGAGATGATTTAACTTTGCACTCCGAGAAGCTTTGGGCGAGCCCTTCGTCTCTTTGGGACGCGCCACCGATACCGAAGTCCCCGGACCGCTGATTCCCAACGACTGGGTTGGGCAAATCGGTTGGTCGTTCCGAGTCGTTCCCACTCCTGGTCTCCGGATGCCGGATGGCAGGCGTGCCTTGTAATGCCGCCTGGGGCCCCAGTGGACCCCCGGCCCGGACGGATCGGGGAGACTTCATGGAGCAACGTCTTCGCTTCTGGAGCCACATGGTGTATCTCTTTAAAGCCCGAAGGCTCCTAGACCAGTTGAGCGACGGCATAAAGTTCCCTGTTCATGTTTAGTGGTGGGCTTTAGGGTTTAGGGTTTTGGGTATCTTTTGGTATCTTTTGGTGCTTTCCTTTGACTTGGTTTTCTTTATTGGAAACCCTTGAGACTCCCCGGACTTGGAAGATCTTTGAATTAACGGATTCTCTTCCTGTTGTGCTGTCCAGACCCCAAAGACAAGTCGAGAGGCCCACGACTGGTACTTGTTTTCCTCTTCCGTCTCATCATGACGGTTTCCAACAACAGGAAGAGTCTTGCGAGCTTGGAACCATGGTCATTGATATAGCGGCCACATGCTTCAAGAATCCTTGATCCATCTTGATCCTTTGTCTTGGTCAACTCACTCAGCTGGATCCTTTTTTGCGCATCGAACCGTAGCTTGGCCAGTTCAAGCTTCACGATGCCTGTGGGGAGGATGGGTGGTGAGTTCAAACAGACGCATCCAGCCGAGCCGCATCCGAGACAGGACCCTCTTGTTTGTACCCAGCCCACGACTTACTTAAAGTAATCGACCGAATCATCCAGACAGCATGGTCCAGAGAAGTTCCCATGCTGAGAAACCCGTGCCCAGTGTGTTTCGGCACCCCGCAATCGAAGCAAAACACATCCTGTCGTTCGTTCCTTCGTCTCGTTGCGGAGCGTCCGCTCCATTTCGGCGACCGGTGAGCTTCTCGGGTCGTGCTCGGACCAGGTGACTCTGATGCATGAGGGTCGCACGCTGGACACGGAGAAGAGCCTCACGGAAAACGCGACTCGGAGCATGTTTCGTTGTGCGACGAGGGGCGGGGGGGAAGATGGTAGTGAGTGCTGGTCCGCAAAGAATTGGGCAAGCTTTGGATGCGGACATGCTAGATTTAGTTGGGTTGAATCAAGATCATCGAATGGAGGAGTAACTCGGCAGTTCTCCTCGTCCTTTTGGAGATTGAGTGCCCGGCGCCTCGTCTTGGTGCCGTTCTCATTTGCTGGAGATTAAAATTTGTGCCATCAAGGGGTGTCACTTGCTAGTTCCGTGAGTTCCGTGTTCACTCAATGTAGTTGAAGCTTGAGACTTCAAGAATCGAATGACATGTTTGGGGGATTTGCAACGCAAACCTTGACATTAATGAATGCCCATTGGAAATTGTACTTACTGTACAGTAAGTCTGAAAGGCTGCTCCACTGGTAAGCTGTTCCCCAAAGGTGGCCCAGAACCAATCCATGGCCTTAGCGTCTCTATGTCTCGAGAATCTCACTCTTCCCGAGAAATCTTCCTCTATCGTGAGCTAGTTGTGTTTCATCGTTGCATAAACTAGTGTATCGAAAGGATCTATGCATTGACAAGTAATGACTCTGTTCAATACTTTAGTAATCATTGAGGTCTTTGTACCTTACTTCAAGGTCTTTGTTCACTTCTACCACACAACTCCAGAAAACGAACGACATGGCCCCATGTGTCGTAACAGGTTCTTTGTCCGGAATATGTTTTGGAAGTTAGACCCCAAGCTTTGGGCTCTGCCTGCCTGGTGGCCCAGGAGATCACGATTCCAGGAGCCCGTGCACGACGGGAAGGGGAGAAGGTGCTGCTTTGTTTCGACACGAAGCCTCCCGGCTGCGTTCGCCACCCGGGGGTGTGGTGGCGCCGCTCGCGTGGTGCGCAGAGAAAAAGAGCATGCCGGAGCGGTCGGAGCACCGGTGTCGTGCTGAGTCGGGGAATCCGATCAAGACTGAGCGTAGCACCAAGCAAGTGGTCTCAGAGGTCACAACGAGAAACATGGTAGTTTGGTAGTCTGGTATGATATGGTATGATCTTAAAGGGGTCATTTTGTTCAAGCTTTCTCACCAGTGGGGGGGCGTGTGTCACCTTTGGTCCTTTGCCTAGGTGGTCGAGTGGTCTCGAACTGAGGTTTGACGTGATGCAGGGGGTGGAAGAGGAGAACAAGAAACAAAAAGAGGCGCGTTATCATGCATGTACCTAGATGTACCTAGCACTTCCAACAGGTGGTCAATGGAGACCTGTAAGTAGGGTAGGGTAGTCTATTGGACACCCATTGGATGATCCTGGTATATTTTTTTGCTGTCCGGCCTCCAGCTTCCTGCTTCTGTAGGGTGTCTTTGGGCTCGGCAGGGGGGTTCACTTCTTTGGGTTCTTTTTTGCTTGGCTTAGGGATTCGCTTCTTGAAGAGCTTGTCCGGCTTTCTTGCCTCGGTTGTTTGGCTTCGGGCTTGAGTCATTTAGGCCAAACATATTACGATTCTGTTGTGTTCAAAAGGTTCAATCTCGAAGTTGTATCTTTGCTTATGCCACAGACTGGTACCAAATCGTGAGGCAATGTTCTAGCCACTCTATGCCGTGTTCGACCTGATTTTTGGAGCCTTTGAGGCCGAGGAGGAAGAGCAAAAAAGGCAACTCCGCTTGCAGCTGGAGCAGCAGAGCCTCGGAGATGCACAAGTATAAGAACAGTGCAGACATGTCGTGGTCTATTGTGACCTGTCTAACCTGGCCTTGGCTTGTCCGCAAGTACACAATAAACATCAATAAACCAGTGGTTGGCTGTGTGGAAGCCTAGAGTCCAAACCTATCCTCCCGAACGATTGGATTGGTGGACCATGTCTGTTTAGGCGTCCCGTTCTGTGCATGAACAGGCGCCCGACGCGGGTCTGCATGCATTCCGTGGTTTCCCGTGCCAAAACGATCTTCTCCGGGATTCGCCTAGTAGTTTCCCATCCACACTTCTTCCAAGTTGCAAGTTGACGGGTCCGTGTGTGAACATTCTCAATCGAAGATTAAACAAAGCACCACGACTCCACTTTGAGGGATCTCATCAGATTGTGGTGCGATCTTGTGGCAATCCACAGGATGGTCAATCCACAGCACGGATGGCACTGCCGGATGGGTAAGGTACTGGGCATGGCAGCCATGCGCTACCCACTCGGGTGGCCAAGTCATTAACAGAACCGCTCGCCCAATTGACGGCTGCTCTTCTACATGTTGCTCGTGGTGGGGTGTGCAGCACAGGGGCCTCCTGCTCTTGGTCTCGCACATTTTTGACCAGCCCTCGGAGACCTCCGAAATCAAGCTCTTGAACGTCGGACGGACGAACTCTAGCGTTACGCCTGCAGGATGCGAGAGAAGAAGGCTCGTGAGGTGCGTCCGGTCGTGGCGAAAGAACTAATCCATCAGTCACAACTGGCTAACACATTTCTCCGACCATGTCTCCCTTATTTCCGCTGGGTTTTGGACAATCATCCCGGCCCAACTCCAATCACTCTCTCCCGAACCCTTGGTTTCGTGGCCGCTCCAAAAAGGAGGATTAATTCCGGGGAGAAGAGAACTATGAATCATCTAGGCCACATCCCATGATGATGTATTTGTGACTACAGTATAGTTTTCAGTCAACCTTCCGTGACTAAAGCTCGGCTCCATCAGATCAACCATGTTGCCTTCCCTCTAAGAAGACATCCTCTAAATTCTCCAGAAGAAACGTAAATGGCCAAACATCACTCCAAACACTGATACATCTATTATAGTTATATAGTGTATTGATATAATATAACAGTATCAACAGTTATTATCATGTACTGTCTTATGCGCAATAGTTCACTGCCGAAATTAAGGCACTCACCGAGTGGGTGAAGGTTGGGTCCATGCCTCCGGCTGCGATACGGAACCTCGTACATGTCTCTGTTCAGCTCAGTTTCTGATTATGTTCCTGTTTGATTGAGCTCAGAACTCAATGCCATGAGTCGCCCCCTTTGGACAGCTGCTCTTGCAGGAAATAGAGCGTGAGGAGGAGCGTCACAAGAAAGCGAATCGTGCCAACGAGCTCTTCGAGGAACAAATCGCTACACAGGTGCGTCGTGCACCCCGGCGCAGCCCTGCCATTCCCCCTGCAGGGCCCTGTCGATTCAAAGCGTGTTCGGTCCACCCAATTGGGCGTGTATCAAGCTAGGGAGACCTCCCTAGAACCTCCTTGAGGAGGACAGCCATTGACAAAAGCCGTTGGTTGAGAGTCCGCATCGAAATCCACCTCCCGTCCTCCCGTCCGACCGAGTCCAGCGGCTGCAACGGTCAGGTGGGCGTCAACCGTGAACAGTATGAGTTGATTCTTCGAAACCCTGACCCAGATGTGAAGAAGCCCAGGCGGGGTGAAGTCAGACTATGAAAAAATGAGTGCGGGTCAAACCATGGTATACGCGGACATCCCTGTGCCTGTGGAATCGGGTCATTTTCAGGGTGCCTGTGCCTGGGTTTGGACCCACATCCAAATTAAATCTCAAGTTGGACATGTTGAAGCATCTCAACTCGTATCTTGTAGTTACAGGAAAGCTGTTGTTGAATTTTGACTCTACATGCATACAGTCTCAGGCACTACGTACAAATTGTTGTTAACGGGGTGAAATTTTTCTTCGAGGTGTAAACTCCTGTGCTAAAGTTTCACGGTGAGCTTGTCTAGGATTACGAGACCTTCTCCAAGAAAAAGGTCTACATTTCTCATGTTGTGTAATGCTTTTCAAAGCCAGGACTTGGGTTTGTTTGAGGGGTACCATACATTTACACAATATATATATATACATATAATGTAGACTCTTGATTAATAAACCCCCCATATGAAGAGCATGTCCAATTAAAATGGGATGGTTTATTAATCAATAGTATACATTTTATATTTGTTACCCCCCAAAGATCTGCCATCTTTGCTTGGTGCATGCATGTCTGACTCAACATTACAGATCTACAAACAGCAAAGAACAAACAGAGAGTTGAGATGATATTTTAGGTGTTATTGTGGCATATTGTGGCATTGATTGAGTAAAATGTTGTTTGATACAAAGAAAGGGAAGGATACCTTTTTTGTTGATTTTGTCTTTATGATTTTATCGAGAGAGACCTCAAAGAGCTCGGTATCAAACAAAATCCATCCTTTACACATCAAGAAGTTTAGTAGTTCACTGTCAGCTTTCACAATTGAAATGCGACCATTAAAGCGACAGACGTCCTAAGGATCTTACTTGCAAGAGAACTTTCGGATGGGAAATATGCAGAAGAAATACCAAAGTTTCTGAAACACAATTCTCAATATGAGAATATAAAGATAACTGTTTAGTGATGATAAAGAAGGACTTACAATGTATTATGACAACCAAGGCTGTATCAAGATCAAGACAGTATATACGGTATATAGAGCAAATAACGGAGAACAGTGAACAAATGAACGTATTCAATGAACAATTGACAGATGCAACTAGAGTAGATGTCCAGCACTATTCTGATCCATTCGGCAAACACATCTTTCTAAAGCAGATGCTGCAGACATAATTCAAACAGGGCATTGAACAAGGCCACTAACATAGATAATGTATGCTGGAGGAATGCATCAATGGAGTGGGAAAACTTGAAAGAGGCTTTTAATAGGAACAAATTAGTGAGACGATAGGCAGAGATTAGTCTACTGAAAAGGGGGCATCCATTAAGGACATGACCAGGGTATAAATTGTTGTGCAAATATGTTCCACACAAAAGAATCCATCGCATTGGGACTTGTTTGCAATCTTTAACACATTTTAAAACCAACCATATCATATCTATGTGTTTAATCCATGAGCTACAGAAGCAGGAAATAAAAATAGCAAAAGCTCCCTGACTAGTAGGTCAATGAAAGGGAAGAACACCCTAAATACAACATGATTGACGACACGTTTATAATTGAATTGCCTAAGGATTGTCAGGTCAGTGGATATTTTTTAGTGGCAAGAGACAATGATTTAACCAAATTGTTGTTTGCTTTGTCATATAGTGGTTATGAAGTTTATGAAGTAGGTATTAAACAAGCAGGGGTTATAGTTGAACTAAAACCAAAGGTTAACAACGTCACATATACAATCAAACACACAGAACCTAGTTAAAACGACGGTTGATGGTTGCATTACAGTTGAGGGTGAAGACACTTGAAGACACTTAGGACCAAATGAACCTAGCAATGTATAGGTTCAACAAGGCATTATATATTTAACTGTTTCTTCTTAGGTCATACTATGCAGGCATCGGCATTGATATTAACATATTGAATGCCCTGTGGAATGAGTAGTGGCCTGTGGAATGATATATGCATTCGAAAACATCCCCAAGGCAATCACTAAAATTTATATTGCTAGCAATAACACACCCATTAATCATCATATATAAAACACTTGATTTTTGTCAGTTGCATCAATGGAAAGTATATAAGTATATGTTGGTTTCTAATATACAATGTATAAGTTGAATGACTTTACTTTATTGTATGTAGATAAGTATTTTTTGACAAATGGTGTAAGGTTGTTCAAAAGAAGATATATATGTATAATGTATATACTTTATAAATCAATAATTGACAGTTTTTAAAGGATGAACATGTCAAGATACTGGCATGCAAAGAACCCGGTAAAACACACAATGTTGTATATTTACAACTGATGAATATATATATAACATATTTGATAGTCAAGAAGAAAACAAATCTGGTTAAGCAGTTTATAGGTGTTGCTAACTATGGATTACTGGATAAGGGAGCCTCAACATCCAATCAAGGTTTTCCATTGAAGCATTAAGAAGAAACAATGGAGTACCAAGCAGATTACCGATGCAGGTTATTCATACATTGACATTTATATTAGAACATTGAATGACCTGTGGAGTGCCAAAAAATAGAATCATTGATTTAAACGTTAAACACATGAATTATTATGTGTGTTGTTTTAAGAAACGTACTGTGCATAGAGTGGGGTATGCTCCCCACGTGCATTTGCTCGACTCTATCCCTTGTCTATTGTTTTTCTTCTTGTAGACTGCCAAAACTAAAACCAGAAACCAACAGCACAAAAATATAACTTATGAGAACATTGGTTTCAGCCTGAACGGTTTGTTTGTTTTCATTGAGTTTTTTTCTTGGTGTCCTTTGCAGCTTTTTCCAAGCTCATGGTTTTCTTTGTTGTGATGGTCCGCAAGCAACGCGCTGGCTGCAAGAAATGGGGTAAAGACAGGTGTTTGTGCAAAACCCCGACTAAGAATGTCAAGAACTCGGACAAAGAGATTGTGAAGAAAGCAGTGAAGTGAATGAGTCTTTGACAACCGCGGCTGAGAAAGTGCAGGTGGAGCGGAAGGAATTGCCAAAAAAAACATACAGGAGGGTCTTTCTTTGAGGGCAAAGGCAAAGGAAAGCTGGAAATTCCCTCCTTGAAGCTTTCGGGCTTTCAGAAGAAATATCACCATACATCCCGTAGCACGAATGAGTGGACAGCTGAGGAGGAATGATGGCGCAGTTGGAAACATGGTGCTAACCACAATGACGCGGAAAAAGCGAGAACGCATTTCCTCAGTGAGGCCCAGCCATGAGCTTATGCTTCTTTATGAACTTGTAATGACTGTTTACAAATATATGGTATATGTACACATCGGAGGTAGCTTTGGAGATAGGAGAAGTCTTGCGAGGAGGACAAGCGTTGGGACAGCATTCGGGGACAAGACGGAGGACAAACATTGCTTGCTAGCCTTGAGGGCACACAAATGGTGGGGACAAATGCTGGGGACAAGTGGGGAAACAAACATATAGGACCAGCCTTCAGGGGTACACAAATGCTGGGGACAAGCCTTGGGGACAAGGGCGGGGACAATGCTAAGGCGTGGGACAAGAGAAAGCAAACCTTGAAGCCAAGCGGACGAAAGGAATGAATTAGGACAAGAGGTCAGGGAACAAGCGCTGGGGGCAATCAGGCATGAGCAAGCCTGTCTGTCTGCTTGGCAACCAGAAAACAATGCATCCTAAGTGACTGGTGCCTGGATACTCACTGTAACCTAATGTCATCACAGCTGTCGTACTCAAGCTGCTTGTGCTTCATTCTGCTCGCCCACAGAACGTTCTGCCACTGCGTCGATGGCTACGCCAAGGTTTTGCAAGAGAGTGGGGGAGAAAGATGTTTCATTGCTGCAGGATCTTTCGCCTCCACTCTGACTGTCGTAACTATAATTGCTCCAAAAGTTTGAGACGCTGTTCAAGCACCACCCCATCTACAGGCTCATCGTTCCTGACCCTGCTGCTGGCTGACATCTTCGATTCTGAGTCGGTTGCTGAAGGGCTGGAACACAGATTGTCGATCGAGCCTGGCAATTATCAGAGATAGTCTGCATCTTAGTCAAGCTGCGAGGGTTGGCTCCGCTGTCCTGCGCGCACTGGAAGCGCAACAGGGATATGTGGGTGTGTGTACAGGAGAGCTCTTGTCTTGTATGTGCACACCGTCTGCTTCTAGTTGCACCAATTTGCGGAGGTTATATCTTCTGGCTTTCACGACGAACACCAACAGTGCTAAAGTGACATCTGATGGTACTATCTCAATCCCTTGCTTGTACTCTACAGCTTGTTTATAAAATTGACGTAGATATGCATGGGCAAAGCAACAATGGTAGATTTTTTTGGGGTAGCAATTCCATATGACATATCTTCAGCATTGACTTAGGCATGCATGCACCACAAGCAAAAATGGTAGATCTCGTTTTGAGGAGTAACAATTCTATTCCATGCATTTAGTTTATAGTCCGGGGTGGAAATTCCCCCGCCAGAATTCATTGGGAAGGAGAAGTTATTTGCGCAGCTTTTGGGTGGAACGTGTTGCTCTGGTCTCGTCCCCTATGTTTTTTGACACGGACGTTTTGTTGAACATGCCCTGGTTGCACAGCGCAGTTCGGAAAGGTTGGGGGAACATGGTGAGACATTGATGCTGAGGATAGAACATGGATCAGCATGGGTGTCAGCTGGGGTAGCAGCTAGGCAGCTAGCGTTTATCGACTGGGAAACCCCTCGGATGTACCCGTGACACATCAGGTGAGGACAGAAAAGTGCCTGGGAGGTAAACATGATCACGTTTCGAACAACCCTTGTGGTGGAAAAACCTTTGTGGTCGAAACACCTATAAGATCTCAACTCCCAAGCTTATTCGTGCAGGACCCTCGGACATAATTGAACGTTCATGTTTTTACGTCTGGTTTCGAGCCTTCGGCTGACAGAAACTGCGCCAGGCATTTCCTGCAGCGCTTAGTGCCTGAGCAGGAGTGACTTGGCAGGACTGCAGTGGAGTTTTTGTTGTGCTTTTGATGCAAGATGCTGATGTGCCCTAGTGTCCCATGTTCCAAACACATCCTTGTGTAGTTAGACCCCTGGCACCGAATGAATCTCCAGGCAGGGGTGAGAGAACTGGGCTAGAAACTCCATGTTGAGATAAAACCCCTCGGACAATGTAGATAGGGCTCTTGAGTATTTGTTCCAACCGAAGTGAGTATGAGTGTTTAGCCCGCATCGCCCAAGATCATGCAGACTGCGGGATTCGGTCCTCAATCTCTTCAGTCCCACTCATGGAACATCCCTGCAGTGAATCTGGTATGTCTAGTTCCGCAGTACATCGGATATTGTAGCATAGATAGCAATTGATGTTTCTCACCTAACCTAGAAAACATTTTTTGGGGGGAACAAACTGGACAACAGTGGTTTGTGCTGTAGATTCTTCAGAACAACTCTCACTTCGACCAAATCCGCGGGGCAGCCGGCCACATCCGGCTCCAGCCTCGGCCACCAGCGTTGGCCTCCATCATCATCAGAGAAGCTTTAAATCGCTCAGCAGTTCAATCCATGCAATAATTCAGTGAATCAACATGAATCAACGATACATGACCAATCATGACCGCTCCACATCATTCTTGGATTCGCTCAAGCTTCTCTATCCATCTATCCATCATTTTTGATCATCCTTTCCGCAACACACGGAAGTCCCGTGCATCCGCTCACCTAGGCGAGCCTTGATGCAGCTCTTGAGCGCCAGCGGCGGGGGCGGAGGGGGCACGGTCTGGGCCTATGAGGTGCACCACCAGGCGCGTTCATCGCACTGTCTCGGGGAGAACATGCGATCCTTAACGCCGGCGGTTGAAGTCGTTGCCTTCGCAAAGCGCGTGAAAGTTTTTATGCGGTGGGGAGTCAACCGAAGGAAGATGGGGAAGTGTTGCAGCATGACTGAACGATTGAAGGTGTTTTTGTGGGTGGGTATGGGTATGGGTATGGGATGGTATGGGTATGAGTTTCTGTCTTTGTGTGGGTGTGCGTGAAATGTTTGAAGCTTTGGTCAGATGTTTGGATGTCATGTTGTGAGTCTTTTGGAAGGGATTCCACAGATTTGTGTTATAAACAGTTCCACAAGACTTGTAGAACTGTTTCTTTAGAGCGTCTTTATTTCACACACTGAGATAATTGCGCAAACTCCAGAGTTTTCGGTTGCACTATGACGTCCGAATTCTGCCAGTACCTCTCCGACCAGTCATTGCATGTGTGAAACGGTCGGCGCCCAGACGTCGGGATGCTTGGTTCTTAGGAGCTCCGAGAACGCTATGAGCGAGCCAAACAGGGCCTCCAAGCGGATGCTGCCAACATCAAGCACTTCGGCTTCGGGGCTTCGGTGGGTCTTGGGGGCAAAGTTCGAGCCGCATGAAGACCATGGGGGGTTGGGGGGATAGAGCGTTTCATAGGAGAAGAACGTCGTCAAGTTTGATTTTCATTTGGCTCCTCAATGTTCTCTTCGATAGGGACCAGCTAGAGGACTGGAAGTCTGCTGCTCGAAGGAAGAGAAAGACTTCCATCATTTTCTGTCTATATAATGTGTTCAAGAGGACATTTGCTGTGGTGTTGACCTTGCAAGCCACCAAGAAAAGGGTTCCAAGCCTTACAAGACAGCAGTTTGGGTTTGGTTCAGAAGTTTGATTTTGGGAGGTGGATGGGACCTCTAGGGTTGAGAAGTGAGTGAAATAAAGAGGAGCTATGTCATTTTTGGGTTAAACAAAATAGGTTGTGAAGAATAGTTGTGGTCCATTTGCCTACCATTTCTTCCTCCAATCAGGGCCCAGGAAAAGGTCGTCGTGTTTGATGACCACTGGTCTGCAACGGTCCAAAGCCTGTTTGCTCCAAAGCACACCTGAGCACCACCAATTCATCACACATCATCATCGAACCACATTTGCATGTACATTTGCCAAATGTCTCTTTCCTGCTTCACTCACCCTTTGCTTTGGCCTTCGTCCATGTCACCCAGGCGGATGGAGTCCTCCACCACGAACTCTTTGCTCAAGCAGACCGATCTGGGCTTTTTGGGCCCCTTCGACCCAAGCCACCTGGCGACCGGGGACGAACTGGGATCATGAACCAGGGACAAGACGTGGGGGTCACTGAAGACGTAGCCGGCCTTGTGCGTCGAGTGATAGGTCCGGCACGGTTTCACCGTGCAGTTTGCTCATCAACCCGCCAGGCTTCGTAGACAAGTCAGGGTCTTCTTTGAGTTATTTGCGCAAAACAACAGGCCCTCAAGGACTTATGTAACCCTTTATGTAGATCCTTTAGTACATGACCAAAAGATACCAAAAGTACACATTGTGGATGGTGGTGATCACGTCAAATCCATGCGGTTTTGCTGTTGATTCATTTGAATGCCCATGTAGGAGAAACCTTAGTCATGAGTCCTTTAGTAACTGTAGATGTGAGGGGAGGTCAACATCCTTTGATACTGATTGCTAATAAGACATGCAATGAGCTGCCAATCGAACCAACCATGATAAAACTGCCATGCGTACGCACAACGCCTGCAGAAGGACTGACATGCAATGCCCACCCCACCCCGCTTGTACCACGGGGTGTTCGTTCTTTGTTTTCGACATTGGGTCAGGCGGGTACGGGTAGGCGCTCCCATTCACAAACGCTATGATCATGGCCCAATTCCTTAGGCAAACCCAAAGTAAGGCTTCGCATGGTGTGTTGGCGCATGGCATGGGGATGCTGTCCATCCCGTTTGACCCTACAACCTGACCGGTGTACACCGTGTAAACCGTTGTTTCGTCCAGTCTCTACAGTAGGGACCTCTTCAGAACCCCTTCGAGTTCTGCGCAATTTGGAGGTGTCAACGAGTTCTGCCTTTGGCATGGAACAGCCCGACTGGAAGGAGAGCTCCCAGTCATGCCAGATTCGAGCAGAATTTGAGAATGTAAGAGTGAATGTGATGGCTAAACAAAGATATGCTCACTGTCACCAGGGCATTGGGCCTACGTATGTCACTAGCAGTGGTTCCGCAATGGTTCCCTTGGTTATGTTCCTTTGGGTTGGAGTATTCTTGCCAACAATCTCCAAGAGCGGCAAGATGTACTTCCGTACCGAATGGAACCTCCAGCGTCCGGAGGGGATACCTATGTCCGGATGGGAAGGGTTTCAGGAGCTGGTGGAATCTGTGCCAATGGATTTGACGCTTGGCGTGTGAAATGAACATGGTTCGGAGGGAGGAGCTCATGTTTGTACACTCCCCACACACTTGTTCGAAGGATAAAGGATAGTACAGTTTTTGAGTCTACTATGATAGTTTACCGGTATAGTATATGATTATATATATATATGATGATTATGATGGCAATTGGCAAAGAAAGATTGGATAGGAACAGGGGCGGTTGATGCTTTCATTGGAAACCTCCAACTATGCATGATATGGATCCTAATCATAGGGGCTGCAAAAAGGGTGGATCAAGGAATAGCACCATGTTCCATCTTTGCTCCGCCGGTATTTTTCTTCGAGAAAGGGCGCCACTCCCTGAACTGCCAGGACCATCAGGTCATTGGGATGGTCCGCCGCACGCCAGTGCGGCCGCACGGCCGATCGTTCAAAGGACATTGCCTATGTGGGCTCTGCAGTGGGCACGGCCTGGGGTCATGGCTTCTACTTTGCAGACTCTGCCAGCACCAGCATGGGCTACACCGGCGGCGGTGTGCGGGTGACTGAAGTGCAGCTGGGCGGCCATGGAGGTGGAGGGATGGTCGGTGAGAGTGCAGTGGGTTGGAAGAAAGATCCGCTCAAAGAAGGAAAGGCAATGTTTTTTGAGGTGTTTTGGAGGGTGAACTTGGTGTAGGACTTCTTCCATCAACAGTATCATTGGGGGGTTGGTGATCATCCCAGTGTACCAGAGATTGTGGATGAGAGGTCCAGATCTCGTAAAATGAGGCCAGCCCCATTATGAAGCATATCATCAGAGATGGGTGGCGTCGGCCGCTGGTTACTGTCAAGTCACCGAAGCGTGCGTGTTCACCGATCATACTGTGGTTTTCTTTCATTGTCTTTCAAGATTTTGAGGTAGTGCTGGATCTTTTTCCTTCAAGAGTTAGTGGCATTGCAATGTGTGGTGTTTCCGCACGCGCCTGGCGCCTGAGGCATAGCCGGAGTCTTGGCCAGAAAGAAGGTGTTCTGGGTCGGAACTCAAGCCCTATAGATGTCCGGTGTCTCTTCACAATCAAAAGCAGTTCATTACGGTTGTTCTTCATTGTGGCTGGCCTGGAGTCGAAGTCGACAACACCATGTTGTCGGTCAGGGTGAAATGAAATGCTCTGAAGTATGTTCAAGCTTGATATGCCAGCATTTGCCCGAAGGGGGCCTCCACATCCCTTTACACTTAGACTTCGGGGGGAGTGGTTTCCCAACTAAACACGAACAGGTAGAAAGAGGTTGTACAACCTTGGTTTTAAGGGAAACTGACGGAGTCAGATTGAGTGTTTCCCTATGGATCCACGACATACCTTCTCAGAAGGTATGTGGGCTCTCCAAGCCTACATAAATAGTCTCCAATCACCTTCTCAGAAGGTATGTGGATCCATAGGGTTTGGCCTGTTTCAGACGTAAAAGTCCGTCTTGCTGGACCTCCCTTCGGACGACTCGGAGAGGGTGGGTTCGGGAAGATGATGTTCATCGGAACCACCACTCTTGTGGCCGTGTTCAACATCATGTTGGGTTTAGATTGGTGAACGTTTTAATCACCTTTGATCTACACCTGAAAAGGGCTCCATCCATCCACCTCAAAAGGTAGTTTGACCCTCCGAACCCACCCCAATGGCCCAGGGCCACCTTTTCAGGACGTATAGTTGTAGCCCTGGGGATTCATATGGATTAATCAATATTAAATTAATCATATTGTCAGCATGTTCCCATATTCTCCCCAGGATAATATTAAGACATTGCTTTTGGTATGCTTTTGGTCAGCTTCTTCGCTCCCCGACTTTTCCGTTCGGGTTTTGTGCGGAACATACCGTCGGCTGCAGGGTGAAGATCATGTTCCTTTGCCGTGTGAGGACCTCAGAGCTTTCCAAAAGAGTCAGACATTACGCCCTGGTTCGACCCACGTGGAACCTGAAAAAACTACGCCCGGCTCAGCGGAACATGGTCTTCCAGTCTGGTCCATGCCATCCGGTTCCATGTGAGTCTTCTTTTTTCCGATCTAGTCCAAGGAATCACAAGAGCCAAGGGCACGGCAACTCAACAAACAGGCGGAGAGAACTCTCGCCAACTCGTATTGAATGGGAATGCTTTGAAATGCTTTGAACAAATAAATATCGAACCGTTTTTTCAGAAGCATGAACCGGGCACGGGCAAGATCCAAGGTTCTGTGCGGTCGCATCCGAGAACTCTCAACTGCTCCCAGCCAAGAGCAGAAGGAGGAGACAGAGTTACTCAGAACAAGAAGCTACTAGGAACAAGTGCCACGCTAGTAGTAACAGGTGCCTTACTAGTAGTAACTATCACTCGCAGCGGACGATCACCGTGAGACGGTGTCCGCTTTGTGCAGGACACACAGGTCTTTGCACAGACATTCCCCAAAAAGATCAGCATGCAGTCGACCACTTTAAAAGAGGGGAAGCTTCCAGGAGTCAAGGGTCCGCCCTGCTCCGGAAGCAAAAAGCCTAGCAAGTATGACTCTCTTGGCATCGTCAAACCAAGGAGCTGCGTTCACTATACATCCTTGAGGAAGGACTCTCCCGCAACATCTGGGTTTCGTGCTGTGAAAGTGTCCAGGATGGCTGTCAACTCCGTCATTGTTGGAAAGGTGCAGCAAGGTCTCACGTATCAGCTTGTAGACGTCGTGGTATGTGGTGAGTTCAAGGTCACGGTCAAGCTTGAACCCATCATCATGAAAAGCTATAGCTAGCTCATGAAAAGAAACAGACAGATCCTTGCCTGTACGCCAATGCAAGCTGCGCAGAAACCGGCAGCACATATGCCAGTCATGAGCGTTGCTGCTCCAGCCAGGGGGGCATGGAACCTTGTTGGGAATCTTCGGGCGCCATTTGAAGTCTTGTTTTCTGGTACCCCAAGGCCATTGTGGAAATCTGTTCTGGCAGTCGGTCTGAGAGATGCTATCCTGTTGAAAACCCTCTTCAACACAAGCCGCTCGATCAGGCTGGCAAGTGGGTAGCATGGCGTGGAGACTGGCTAGCCAGAGTTGATGACCTTTAATGGCTCGTGTGGCTTCCTTCTGCACATCCTCATACACACTGGCTGTTTGAAAAGCGCATTCCTTAGCAGCTGCATCGACCAAACGATTGTGCAACACGTGCTCAAGGGTGGTGCCACGAAAGCCAGCGAGTTCTTCGCTAAGCAATTCAACGGCTGCAGGGATGCCATCAAAGCAGTGAGCTGGGATCCAAATGATCCTGAACGGAGGGTCTCGCACAGCCTTTCTGATCTGTGTCAGCCTCTGTAAAAACAGCCACCACGAAAAGCAAGTCCAGCTGTCGTGCGGGGAACCTCCCTGAAAAATGCACTGAGCTTGTTCTACGACTGTGAGACAGTCACAATAGATTGTGGCGGGGAAGCAGGCCTGAGCGCAGGCAATGATAACCCCCCATAGTTCTGCAACATAGGCTGAGATGTTCCAATGAAACACTGGGCCACAGTGCCTTATCGTTCTTGTCTCATCCAACACTGCGCAAGCCGCACTTGTCAGCCAGAATGTGTCGGCATAACAAACGGAACCATCGGTCCAAAAACGTTCTTCATGGTCAGCACAAAAAGAGTTTGCTATTGTGATGTCCTCGATGTTCGAAAATCTGAGTCTTTGGCGGGCAACAGCTGTTGGGTGCGTCACATGCCCAAGAGCAGCAAAGTTGGCGCCAAATTCATGGAGCACCGGAGGCCCAATTAGCTCATGCACATGGCTGCATTCCAGCAAATGCATCATACACTCTTTGGCTTGTCCGCAGAATCTGCAGGTGGCGGATGTCACCCAACCTGAGGCAGCGAGACGGTCGTTGGTGAGGGTGCAACCAACAAGTATATTCTCGATGCGAAATTCAAGTTCATGGTTCGAAGTTTGGTTTTTCCTGACTTGCCGCAACAGTTTGGTAGTTTGCTGGAAATCGAAGACCCCGGAAGGTTTGAGGAAATCTTTGCGGGATCTGGGGTCAATCGAGCAATAGCAGGCATGTCTGGCGATATTCTGAAGCGCTTTAGACAAACACTTGGGCGACAGTTCAGTGAACCGAACTGGGGACCCCCCACAAAACGCGATGCGAAGTTCGGGGTCATGTTGAATATCAAGCGTATCAAACGCCCTTTGAAGTGTACTGGCCAGGCAGTGGTTACCAACTGGATTTTTCCAAGTAATCATGAGTTGTTGGGCAGCACGGTCGGAGTGCCTGCACAATCTAGCCACCTCAATGATTGTGTTGTATGCATCCGCATATTGAGGATCGGTGCGGTGCGGCTTGGAAAGAACACATTGGAGTAACTGTTTAGATCTCCACATGGGTTGGCCAACCCACAATGCCTTGGCAATAGCGTTCCGGAGGGCCTTGTAGGCTTGTTGCGGGATTTTGGAACAATGAGCCCCAAAAGTGATTTGGGGGATGACCTTTGAACCAACCAGAAAGCAACGAATGGATCTGCTCACCGGCAAAGCCGCAATGTTGTCGACGTCAGCTAATATTTTCCGTAACTTGGAGTCAGGAAATCCGAAATGCGATCTCTCCGAAGTGTAAATTTTTTTCCCCAAAACATCAAGTTCAAGCACAATCGGAAACCCCGGAAAAGCACTTTTGATTTGCTTGCGGGCATTGGAATCCGTTCCCCAAAGCGAGGATTTCCCCTCATTGAGTTTTTGGCCGCTAAGCAGGTCCCAGACCTTTGTGGCTTCAATGGCCTTCTGAAGAAGGTGGACATTGCAAATCTTGCACCACAAATACGAGTCGTCAATGTAAGCCCTAACGAAAATTTCGGGGAGATGGTCAAGAAGATGACACCAAACCTTAGTGTAGGCGTTCATAGCTAACAAAGAGAGTGAACAGCCTTGGCACACCCCGTTAGGGGCAGTCGTTGAGACTGGAGCAGTCCAATTTCTATAGGACAGGTGTCTATGGAGCCCATCATAAATTTTCACAAAGAAAGAGACGAAGCCCGTAGGGAGGCCGAATGCAAGAAAGAGTGCCGCCACGAAGTGTGGGATGATTCTGTCGAAGGCCTTGGCTTTGTCAATTTTGATGCCAATGATTGCATCACCTTGGTGCTTGGCTACATCTATATCAAGTCTTAGTTGGTTGAACAGGTCGGACATGTGTCTACCTTTGATACCACCAAGAATGCTGGCAGGCATAATGGCTTTTTGCCAGTCTTGCAATTGAGCAAATCTGGCACCAGTGTATGCCAGGAGCAACGCTGGCAGGATAGTGATGAGCCTTTTGTTAAGTGGTGCAGCGGGACCTGGTTTATTAAGTATAACCTGCTTGGCGCAGACAAGCGACTTCGGAAGAGGCAGGTTGGAGGACTCAATGGCGTCAAAGAAATCAGCGCAAGGTTGGAGCTCCGAAGCGGACAGCCGCTGCAGTTCAGTTGTACGCCATCCGTCTAAGCCAGGGGCGGCTACAGCTTTTCGCTTCTGAATAATGTTGAACAAGTCAAGACCGGATATCTTGGGGAGCTCAACTTCAAGCTGTTGGTCATGAATGTAGGGCCATATGGTGTCGAGCATCTTGAGAGGATGATGCCGAAGGACGTTTGCACTGTAGACTTGGTCCCATTCACTATTGAGGTACGAGAGGGCTTGATCCGGTTGATAAATGATGTTCTGGTCTTGATCAACCACTAGATTAGCAGGCTCGTCTTTCTGTTTGTTCTTAAGGTGATGAAAGATGTACGCACAGCCATGTGAGGCAGAGTGACGAATGCGATCTTTCCAGTTTTGAATCCGTTTCAGCTTAAGTGCTAGTTCATGGGTCCTGAGAGACTGTTCCGCCCATCTCTTAGCATGAAAGACCTCAACAAGACTCGGAATTCTATGGTGCACCCAACAGACCGGTGACTTCAAATGGCACAGCTGGTTTCTGACCTTGCTTGCGGTGGTGAAAGTAATGTACCCGTCTTGAGCCGAGCCCTCTGGCCTCGAAAGCCGGATGAACAGTTCAGCAAGTCTGCCAATCAAACGAGCGAGCTGAAGACCGTGAAAGCTTGCTGCACAATGAGAGGCCAACTGCTTGGGCGCAATGGTTTTGGAAACAAAGGTAGGAGCACATGCCCTCTCCCGAGGACCATCCCCCCAAGAAGCCCCTTTAGCAATCAAGGCATTTTGAAGGTATCGGTTGACAACCGCCCACTTATCCTCTGAAGAGGGAGTAGCGTCGAAATCTTCACTGTACGAGCCCTCCCAACAAATTTTGGGGGCCTGGTTGCAAGGGCCTTCACACTTATCGAGAACGAACGGGGCCGTTTTGAGGATATGGTGGCCAATCTGGTTGATCGAATCCCAGTGGAAAACAAGCTTGACCGGCCTGTGTTGTTTACCAAATGTTTCGACGACTTCCGCGCTCTGCAAGGCCGCAAAAGCAATGTCGTTCACAAGTACTGAGTCAATGGATGTGCACCCGTCACCAAGCCCAGCAAATGTGCAGTCATTGCTAAAAGTGATCGGGCGTTTGATATCCCCCTTGTCATCAACAGTCACAATCGGGTCGTGCCATGATTGGAATGACAAAGCGGCAGCAAAAGCGGGGTAGCTGTCGGGTGGGGCTTGGAAGTCCCCTGCTATCAAGACAGGGATGGACCCATACTGTGCAACAAAAGAAAGAATATCATCAAAAAGGACGTTGTTTTCAGCATGAATCTTAGAGTCCTGTGAGGCGCTTGTACGTGCGTAAACAGAGATAACGAGAGCGCGCTTCTTAGGCGTGACTTGGAGCCACGCTGCAACTACCCTTTTGGTTTTGAAGATTCTTTCGTAAATGCCAGTAGCATCATGTTGACTCTCAAAAACTCGCAAATAAGCAGAACCCCCAGCGATGAGAGTCCCACCACACGGTGTCTTGGTGGTGTTGGACCCATGCCAAACCCCCGGGAGAAGATCACCAAAGCAAGGTGTGAAATCAACAGAACGAAAGGTCTTGGAGGCGGTTCTGTGGTTGTTGCGCCCGACCCTAGTCTCTTGAAGGCAGACTACATCTGCATTCCAAGTCTTCCAAGAAACATCCGTCATGATGGATCCAATGTTGGCAGAAACAAGGGTCATCCGATTCCCCGAAGGCCCCTCCCCAGGGTACCCAAGAGTAGCATCAAAATCGAACAAAGCCCAGTCGGTGGATCGCGGGACTGAGTGAAAAATCTTTCCCCTGGTCGCACCGAAGGTGCACCGTTGGCAAGAGAGACAGCAGGCTGTTTTGAACGCAGCAAAATC